GGCCATGGACAGCTGGGAAACCAGCTACAGTGAGGCCTGGGCAGCGGCTGAGCTCAGTGTTCCTTGCAGCTGGAATGAGGACGGGGGAAGGAAATGGAAGGAGGAGCTTTGCACCTCCCTTTGCAAGAAACCAGGACCTGATTTGAGGTTTTGGGTTGGTTTTAACTGTTCTTTTCTTTTTGCAAATTCCTCCTGGAGCAAGGAGAAGGAGCAACTAGTACATCAAGCAGTCTCTTTGCTGGTACACTACCTCCGTAAAGGGTGTTGGCAGCTTCCCTTCTTGTCTTTGCACATGGAAACATGGGAATGCCACGCAGCGAGCGGCCGGACCGGCATAACCTCGGTGCTAAAACCCCAGTCCAGCGCTTCGGCGTAGCAGGAAGAGTTTTTCTCATACAGCAGTTTACGTTGCCTGTAACAGCTTGAAGCAGCCATGGCAGGAGGAGGAGGAGAAGGAAGAGGAGGAGGCAAATTGTCACCTTGCTACATGTGCGGGCCGTGTGCCCATCCCTGATCCGAGCCATTGCACCCCGCGGAAGCTTTGCACAGCAGCTACGAACAAACACAGCCCTAAGGTACAAAAAAACCACCGGAAGAACGTTCCTGATTGTCCTGCCTGGTTGTCATTTGGTACAACTGGGAAGAAGACAGTAATACTGTAGTGTCCACGGACGTCTCGCCGACACGGCCGGAGCACAATTCCTGTGCCAGAGGGAGCACAATTCCTGCGAACCCGCATGGCGTGTCTCGACATCTGCACACACGTGAACATCATGCCTTGGACATGCAGCTGACGGGGCCGGGAGGACAATAAGACTCTTAATTACACACCTTCCAAAAGTCAAGCACAAAGCCTGTGGTCCAACTCGGTGTAAGATTGTCCTGTTGAGGAGCTTTGGTACAAAAATACTTGGCTCTCGTTTTAGTCTGCTTTCATATGGTTCTGTTCGAAAAGTTCAAACACTACAACAATGCCTGTCAAACCATGCTTTCGGGAGCAACACACTCTTCCTTACAAATATACAGTGTAAAAGAGGAAAATATTATTACTAGGTAATGTTTTTCTTCTAGGAGAGCAGATGTGTGATAGAGGCTGTGGGAAAGTCTTGGAGGAATCCAAACTCATGTGAGGGTTTTTTTCAAGCCTGTAACAACAGAGAGAGGTGTTTAAAAAAAAAAGGCAGCTGTGATGGAGGAAAAAAGGGGCTGTGATTCATCTCTCGTCCTTCATGGGGAAACTCCTGTGCAGCAGCATGGGGGAAAGGGAGGCTTGTTTTGGAAATCCGTGCCTGGACCTCATTCCAAGGACAGGGAAAGGCGAGGTGGGAAATGCCTGTGCAGAGAGACTGTCGGCATCCCAGGTGTAAAGGACCCCGCTGGTCCCAGTTTGCTCCTCCCAGTGGCTGAAGCCCCTGGGGTTTGAACTGGGAAGCTGAGAGTTAACTTGAATTTTGCACTTTAAGAGGAATTCAGTCTCTGTTGATCCAAGGCAGGAAGCGAGGACGGAGATGAGATTACCGGGGGTAATTCAAAGCTGAGAGGCATTCCTTGGCTGTGGAAACCCTCGCCCCAGATAATTACGATAAAGGCGGGAATGGCAGGGCCGTGGTTCCGGCTGGGCAGCAGCAGGAGCGGCGATGCCACCCTGCAGGGATCAACCCCAGGGTCACGCCCGCCTCACTGCCTATTCCCTCGTGGACATCACACTGGCTTCCTCACCCTTTGGCCCCCTCCCCAAAGCAGCCAAGCCCACGGGACAGCCGGACGCCATCCTGGCCTTACCAGCACACTGTGGTCCGGCGGAGAGCACGTCACCCCAGTAGCCGCCTTGGAAGACTCCACTAATACCCACAAGACTGACTGTAGGCCACCATCACACACCTGAGACCTGCGGGAGGACACAGCGGAGGGTGAGGGACGCTGGCACGGGGGGCTGAGGTCACGGTGCTGTGGGGAGAGGTGGTTTCAAAGTGGTCAGAGCCGGCGCTTCCCAAGGGGGGCAGTTTTCACCTTAGCCCTGCCCTGATGGGCTCCAGGCAGCAAGTAGAGGGCAGGGCCAGGCTGGCAGCAAAACCCTTCCCTTGGCTGTGCCCTTCCCTCGGCTGTGCCCTTCCTGGGTGGAGGAGCCTGGCAGGGAGCCAGAAAGATCCCCAGCCCTCCATCCTCACCACCCACTGTGGCTACCGGTGTTGCTGTGGGCTGGTGGACCTGTTCCAAATGATTCGCTCGCCTCCCCTTCCCAAATACGGCTCTGCTTACATTTTATCTGGGAACTTTGGCACAGTGCATATTTTGGAAGAACCACTGGTTCCCAAAGCCTCGCCGCTCCCTATTTTTATCTGCTGGGCCTAAAATAGCCAGTAAGTTCTTTGTGGATCCAAGTCTGGGTCCAGCTGCAGCCAGGGCTGGGCCTTCTGCCCTCCCAGATGAGTGACCATGGGAGCAGGAGCAGCCGATCCCAGAGCTTTGGATGCACTGGGTGTGGAAGCAGGAGGCTTCCCAGCAGGGATCGGCAGTGTGCAGGGATGATTCCCAACCGGGATGGTCAGGGTGGGTGGGATCATGAGGTAAAGCAGTGCTCAGTGTCCACTGAACCTCTTTCCCTTCTTCCATTTGGGTCCCCTTTGTTTATCCACGAAAGGCCGAGTTATTTGCAGAGCATGTCTTGCAAGGCTTTTTCCACCCGAAGAGGTCCCAGATGGAATCGGATCGGTCCCTCCCTCCAGCCAGGCAGCTTGGTGAGGCTGCACTTCTTATTTTGGCAGCTCCACCACCCCGAGCTGCCAGGAGAGTTTTCATTAAGGTTTAATGAGATGGTTGTGTTGGGGCTTCCTTCTTTTCCATCGCTGTACCCCCTCCCCAGCAGGATGCCTTTTCCCTGCTGCCCTGGGACATTTGGGAAAGTGTTGGGGGTGAATGGTGGCAGGGATGTCCCCTTCCTGGGGACAAGGAAGGCAACTGGACTTAAGGGTGCCTGCTGGAAAGTGGCCTCACCAATAGTCTGGCCCCCCACCCTGAGCTGCTGGAGACCCCAGGAGTTGTGGTGGTGGGGGAAGGCCCCAGGGTAAGGGTGGAGGTGGATCCCAGCCAGCGCAGGAGGATGGGACCAGGATGGTGGCACTCACCCGGCATTCAGCAGAACTGACGGGACTTCCAGCCCTGAGAACCAGCCTCGGAAGGAGGGAGCCAGCGCATCTGCAGAGGCAAGGGGGACACAGAGTGAGAGGAGGGTGGCCGCCCACCCTGGCAAGATCCAGCTGCATCTGGGATCCCCTTTCCCAGCCTTCCCCAGGCACAGGGTGGAGAGAGGTCAGAGCACAAGCAGTACAGCCATCCCAGCTCCAACCGGGACAGTAACACTGGGGCCAAGCACAGCCCCCAGCACTCCTGCTTCCAGTAGGATGGAGCTGGGATAGCAGCACCACAATCCCACTGAGCAGGAGTGAGCTCATCCCTCTCAGCTTCTCAAAAGCCCACTTGAAACAGGGAGGAAAACATCAGATGCCAAAACCCAGCACATGGTGCTCAGTGCCCTGCCAAATAACACCAAGTCAGCCCCCATCCATCCCGAGGTTCCTGGTCCCGCCGCTCTCTGCAGGATCCAGCCGAGCAGCTCCAGTTTGGACAGTGGCACCTTTCTCCAGTGCCCCCCACCAAACCTGCAGGGGAGAAGGTGGGAAAGGTGCCACCACCACGCTTCCCCTTGTGCTGACATTGCACATCAGAGAATATTTCTTCTGTCTAACCTCAGCCTAGGTTTTCCCGAGGGACCCTCAGAGCTTCCGTACGCCTCCATTTCCTTCGCTGTCGCTTCTCCGAGCAGGGCAGGTGCTGCCTGTTAGCAGTTATTTGACAAGGCGAGTACATGGCTGCAATAATATTTACTGCTGCTCTTCCTCTGAGCAGCAGGGCACAAAAAGCTGGAGTTTCATCCAAGGTTTGTACGCCGAGCGCTTTTCCACACCCTCCTGCTCAAACAAGCCCCTGGCTGCTCCGGCTCCCAGCAACGGTGGCTCTGGATAACCTGGCTCAATCCTGGTGGGCCAGGGCCAAAAGCCCCTTGGAAGCAGTTTATCCAGCTAATCTCTTTTCGTGTGCTCGTTTTCTCCTGCTCATCACCGAGTTGGAGCCAGCAGCAAGGAGCAAAAGCCGGGATGATGTCCGGCACAGATGCTGGGGAGGCAGCTGCCCATTCCCCCTTCATGGCAGAGGTCTTTTCCCAGCATCCCCATGATGTAAGGCTGGCACTGCAAAGAAATCCTCTTCCTCCTCCATTTCCACTTCTTCTCTTCTTTCCCCAGCTCCTCTCCCAGGCGGACGGTTAATTTTTAACAGCCACGTGCTGCCATCGGGGGCCACCGGCGTTGGCAGCCGGCAGAAAGCACTTGTGACAAGGCAGCACCTCGTCAATAAAAGATGGATCCTCCATTTGCGCTCCGCTTCCCTCTCCCCCCCATCAGAACCGCTTGGCTTCACACCCCATGTCCGGCGCACCACATCCCAGCAACGCTCCAGGGGCTCTGGAGCCCTCATCTCACACCACACCAGCAGCTGGATGGCAACGAATGATGGGGATGGTCCAGACCCAGAGAGCATCCCCATCCCTCCATCCCTCCCTCCCTCCCTCCCCACTTGCCCCACCACGGGCGGCAGCAAAGGTAGGAAGGCAGAGAGGTGTTTGGGGAAAGGCAGGACCCCTGCCAGCTCTCAGCTCCATTTGGGAGCCATCCCTAAATCTCAGGGAGCAGGGAATGAGTGCCTGTTAGCCGGGCAGAGGTTAGTGGTGTGGCGGGCACCGAGGGGGAGGGGGGTCCGGGGCAGGTGGGAGGGTGAGCGGTGGTGGCGGATGGGTTGGAATTACCTGGGCATGCAGCGAAGCGGGATAGGTGAAAGCAGGAGGAGGTAGAGCAGGTGCTAATTCCGCTGGGTACAGAGGGTACGGCCCCCACACTTCAGGGCTACTGGGGTAAAGTGCAGGCACTGTGAGCTCATCTGCAAGAGAAGAAGAGGGAGAATTAACAGTGACCACAGGGCCGCCACCCCTGCCATATCCTTCCTTCTCCCCCCAAAGCAGGAGCAGAGCTTCTCCCGGAGAAGTGCGGGATGTCACCACTGAGAGCCGACCCGCAAAGCCAACATGGTACTGGGCTTGTCATCTCCAAAAGGTTTAATGATCCCAGGGATCCAGCAGAGGAGAGAATGTGGCTCAAGCCTGTGCATAACAGTGAGGTGAGGAACCGGTGCCCACGCGAGAAAAGCTCTTCCAGAGGCGGAAACAGGTATGGAGCACTCACGGCAGGACATTGCTGAGGCCTCTGCTGAGACCCCCAGATGTGACACGGAAACTCCCTGGCATGGAGAAGCAGCACCTTAGGCTAGTCCCACTTCCAGGCCCCATGCCACGCTGGCTACCACCTGTCCCAGGATCCTCTCCTTTGGGGACTCCTGGCAGCAAGCAGGTGCTGCTGCTTCCAATTGGACCTGGCATTCCCCACTGCCACCCCCCCACGGTATCCCTTCTCCTTCCAGCACCCCACATGACATCACATTCCCCGAATAAGGTGTTTTCCCCGGGATTGGGGCAGCCCCCAGCGGCCGCCACCCCAAACCCTTACTGATGCTGCAGATCCCCGGTACTCACAGGGCTCCCGGGCGATGAACTGAGGTACGGCGGTGGGAAAAGGGGTGCTGGGATTTGGAGTGCCCACCAGCTTGCTCTTGGCCATCTTGGTGTTGGCCTTGGCGAACTCCAGCCGCAGCGTCTGGGGGATCTCGGGGTCGAAGCGGATGCCCTGCGGGAGGGGAGGAGGGAGAGGAGGCACGGCGGGTGGGCGAGCGCTGCCGCGTGCCGGCCCCCGCAGCAAAAATAACTCTCTCCCCGTTATTTATGGGTTTTTTCAACTTCCAGCCTTGAAATGAGCTAATTTGCCGGGCCCCGAGGCGGCTCACATTCCTCCAGCATCTTTAGCATCGGCACCATATTTGGCAGTCGGCATCCCCGCAAGGCCAAGCTCTTATCCAGAGGGATTAGTGGAGCCAAAGAAAAGAAGTTTTACACTGAAAATGAAGACAGGGAAGAAAAACAACCCTAAACCAAAACCCAGGGAGAACTGGTGAGGAACCGCAGAACCAGCTCCACATGATTCTGCCCCTGACTATTTCCAGGTAACTCCACAGAGGTGGGAGGGAGCTGTTAAAAGTGAGATTTGCTTTTTCTTTTGCAGATTTTGCTGGGATTTTTCCTGCTGAACAAACAGGAGAGGCTGGGAACAGTGTCTCTCGCTTGTATTTGTATCTAAGGCTTGAATCCTGAGAGTTCAAGCCCTCCTGGATGGCCCTGAGGAAGGTGAGAGGGATGCAGCCCCCTGGGAGGGAGGATGTGGATGAGAAATAACGATGGGATCGTCCGGAGGGGTGGGGATGCTGTGGGGCCAGCCAGCATGGGAGCTGCACATCCCCAGCGTGGAGGAATTCAGGGAGTATCTGGAGACAGGGAAACAAGGAGAAAAACGGGAAAATGGAGCAGCCAGGCCAGGCACACTCACGTTCAGAGCGTTCTTCGCCGCCTCTGCCTCGGAGCGGCTGTCGAAGCTGACGAAGCCCACGGGCTGTGGAGGAAGGAGAGGAGGAGCCATCAGTTAGGTGGGGAGCAGAGGGGACCCCCCTCACCCCAGGGACTGGTGGTGCCAGGGAATGGTGGGATAATCACCCCGTTTGGAGTGGCTCCTACCTGCTTGGAGGTGAGTTTGATGAGAGACCCCTCGTACCCCTGCAAGGAAAGGATATAAAAGGGTGTTCAGTGGAGACCCCCACCATTAAATAATAATAACTGAATAAATTGACTGAATTAGATTTTGGGGGGGGAACCAGTGGGCTACCAGATCCCAGTAAGGTGTTTGGGGCTGGAGCAAGGACCAGCCCCACACTTCCAGCCCCCCTTTCCCTCCCCAGTTCTTTACCTTAAAGGGCCTGAAGAGCAGGTAAAGTTCCCGGGGCTTAATGTCCAGAGGCAACCCGCTGACAAAGAGTGTCCTCACCTGGAAAAGAAGAAAGAAGGTTCCTGGGGATTCTCTTCATCCCTAACTTGGCTTCCTGCAGCCAGAGGGACAATGCCAGCCCAAAGGGAACCTCCTGGGCAGCCAAAAGCCTTAAGCCACAATTGAGTGATGCAGAATTTTTGGGAGGGGTGGCCACAGAGGAAGCTGCTAAGGCACCATGGAAATGTAAGGGAGACCTGTCCTCACCCCACAGAGTGCTCTCTGGGCTGAAAAAGCTTCCAGCATCCCAGCACCTTCCTACCCCGGTCTGGCAAAGGTCTGGCAAACAGGATCTCTCCAGGATTCCGCAGACAATGCCTATTGTCTCAGTTTAATTGCAGCAGCTCATTAAGGACTGGGAGAAGCAAATCCCAACTCTTCCTCCTGGAGGAACGGCCCTGGTTTGGAGGGGGCTGGGTTTAAGCAGCTTGTCCCTGGTTTGTAGAAGTCACCTTTTAAGGGGTTTTAACCCTTTTTTGGTGGATCTAACATTTGTGGTGGTGCAGCACCCTCAAAGCTGGTGTGTTTGCCAGAAATCCCGCTCCCACCAACTCCAAGGCGGGATGTGGGGTTCCCCAGGGATAGGCAAGCCCTGTGCTGGGATGGTTTTGCTTTACAACCAGCTCATAACTGGTGAAGCAATGTGGGGAACCGGATCTGCTGCCAGTTCCCCCTCTCCTCATCCACAAAATCTCATCTGAACACTTTGGGCTGGAGGAGGGGAAAACTTCGATTTATTTTATTTTATTTTTTTGGCCACACACCCTGCCTGCCCCATTCCCTGGGAAAGAGACATGGGAGACTGCCAGAAACAGCCAGCCCAGGCCTATTCTTCTGCTGACATTTCTTCTTTCTCTTGCAGATAAGCTATCTCCCCCATCTCCCAGCCTGGGAGCAGCAAACATTCCTGCTTTGTGGAACAAAACCTCTGGCTGACCTGTATCTCTTAAATAACAAAAGGTACTCGAGCTGTTTGCATATAGCCCTTGTGCCAACAGCCCTGGTGATACCCATCCTAGGTACCTGTGTTATCATCATCATCATCACCATCATCATTCCTGCAGGTACCAGCATCCAGGCCGGATGGGATCGGCACAGGAGTGTCCTCACCCTTTCCTGAGCCAGGGCTGCGGGCAGGCACAGCCTGGTAGCCTGTCCTCTCTAGTGGAGCCAGCCAGGATGGGCTGGAAGCCCCCCCAAAGCACCTTGGGGCACCTCTGCCAGATTTTTGCTGTCTCCTGAGACCAGAGGCTGATGGAGCATCCCAAAGCATCCAATACCCCATGGAGACAGTGCCCAAATTTCTCCCAGCAGGGGCTGGGGAGGCAAGAGGAGCTCCCCTTGTGCTCATGAAATTCAATGTAAAGAAAACAAATTTATCCTTTCCTTGGGGAAATAAATATTTCCTTTCAGACAGGTCTGACTAAGCGTGGCTGCTATCCAGGGAATTGGCTCTCCGGATGCATCCACCTTCCCAGCTGGGTTTGTGTGCATCCCTGCATGGTGTCCCCTGTCTCCATCATCCCTGGAGCAGTTCTGGCAAGCTGGCTTCCCATTACTCCTCTCCCTGGGGAGCTGCATGAAACACCAGAGGTGTCGGCGACAGCTCTGAGTGGGGGGAAACCCACTGCCAGTTTGCAGCATCCCTAAAATCCAAACCCTACAAGCCCAAGCCTGCCAGATCATTTATCCCCAAAGCCACGTGGGAGAGAGATGGGAAAGATAAAAGACCCCGAGGAACCCTCCGAAAGTTCCTCTGAAATTCAGCCCCGCAGAAGAAGGGCTTCTCTTCCATAATGACTTGTTTTCTTTGGAAGTTCAAATGCGGGTCGGCCAAGTTTGAATCCGTAAAATTACACAGTGGCGAGAGAGAGAAGGGCTCCAAAGGATCCCCCAGCTGGTTTCCAGCCCCAAAAGGCCTGGGAGAGGAGGGAAGGATACGAGCTCGTGGGTGCTCCCCATCTGCACCCCACAAAAGGGGTCTGGGGTGTACCGAGGCACAGGGATGTTTAAGTAGGTCCTATGCAAACAGCATCCTTTCGCTGGGTAACAAACAGGTGGAACTGGCAGGGTAAGGGAGTTTCCTCAGGGATAATCCCAGCAGGCTGGACGGATATCCTTTTGCCAAGGGAAGGATTTTAGCGGAAATATTACTCCTGCCCTTAAATGGAAGGGGAGCTTCGGCTTGCAGGGAGCTGCTCCAGGTTTTCCTGTGCCGAGAGATCCCAGGGATTCAGTCGCCATCCTCTACCAGAAACACACTCAGGGCAAAATCCTACCCGGGATTGGGAAAAAAAAAAGCCTTATCAGCCAGCAGGCAAATATATGTTCTTCCATGGGGAAAAATGACCCCTTCTGGGAGGCAGATTGGGCGAGGTGCCTGCTCCCAAGTGTCTCATGGGATGGGGCCAGACCTACAGCTCCCAGGCAAGGATTAGCAAAGGGCGCTGGAGCATGGGATTCCTGCAGCCCAAACCCCCTTATTTTTTTTTTCTGACAGCCCGAGCTGTTTCGTTTCAGTTCTGCTGTACAAACATTTTTCAGTTTCTTCTTGGTGGAGCATTTCTCCATCTCTCCTTCTCCTTATAATTTGGGGTAAAATCAAAGGTGTTTTTCCAGGTCAGAAGAGCCAGTGTTTACTCCAGGAAGCTGCTGGCCATGGGTGCAGCACCTCAAAGGTGACCACCTTGATTTCCCTCCATTTCCTTCCATGGGGATGGCAGCTATGCACGAGGAGCACTCCAGGTCCCCTTCCACAGTCCTTCTCTGCTCCTGCCGCTGCACCCCACAGCTCCCAGGTTTGCCAGGGCTGCTGGATCCCACCTCTGTCTCCTTGCTCCTGGTTTTGTCCCCTCTTGGCTTTTATTGTCCCTGCAGGAAGTCTCCTCTTCATCTCTGCTGCTCTCCCTCAGAAGCCACCTCCATCCCACTTCTACCTCTGCATCCCACCATCCTCTTCTGTTGTCCTTGAAATTCCATATCCCATCTGGGGCATTTAAAGGATGATGAAAAGGGTCTAAGGGGGTTTGCTGGGATGGTCAGGGCTGGAGACACACAGGGAGAGGCAGGGCCTGGGCCAAGAGGTGGCTGGAGTCGAGGAGGAGAGGAGCATGGATCGAGGATGGCCCAGCATGGAGAGATCCATGACGGAGCACTGGCAGCCCTCCTCCTCCTCTCCCCATGTTAAGCCACAAGTGAGGTTCCTGAAGGTAAGGAAGCACCAGGGAGGCATTTACCCTGCCTCGGACCCCCATCGGATGGCGGTGCCCCGAGGGATGCCGGGTGTCCCAACCAGCACGGTCACGGTCCCCTGCCCCTGCCCAAACCACCTCCGGTAAACGTTAACAGGCTGGGGGGGAGGCGGGAGGCATCCGGGTGATTCATCCACGAGGCATTTAATCGCCTCCTTCAGCCCCGGCTCCCCGTCCGTCCGTCCGCCCCTTCCAGCGGGGCTCGCTTTAATTCTCCACCAGCCGATTATCCGCTTGACTGCCCGCCGCCGGAGAGGCACCGCCGGGCAGCCGGCTCCCGGCGGGAGCGGGAGGGCGATGGCACGGGGCTGCCATGGAGCCAGGGAACAGGGCGAGCGGAGCTTCTCCCCGCACCCCATTCCCGACAAAGCGGGGTGCTGTCCCCCCCCGCGCGGCGGGGTGCATTCCAGCCCCGCCGGGATTAGTCCTGGCATAAATACTCTCTTGGCTAATGGAGCGTCTTCCTCGGCTGGGTTTAGATTCCCGGGCTGCGTGTACGCATGCCTTCAGCCCGCAAAACTCCCCGACATAAACAAAGCTGAGGCCGAGGGATGCCGGCTCCTCCGCCTGGGGAATGCGGGAGGACCGGGATCAGCCTCCGGCCTCGCCACCCCGTAGCCTCTTGTCCAGAGGGGCAGACGAACGTCCGGTGACGGACAGGAGGAGAGGAACAGCCCTTGGGGAAGAGCGAGTCCAGAGCTGCCGGGGCTGGAACGAGGAAGCGGCGGAGGAAAAGGCAGCGAGAAGCCAAGGGAGCAGATGGGGGATTGCAACAGAGCGGAGGAGCGGCGAGATCAGGCGGGGGTCACACACGGCCCTGTCCCGCCCAGACTTTGCTCCCAAACCCTCCGGACCCCACGTTTCAAGGGGGAAAGGAAGCAGGAGCACGGGGGGATGCGACAGAGGGGCCACGGGGGAAAATTTTACCCACTCACTGGGCGCATTCCCCCCCAGATGCCACCCCTGGTGTTCCCTCCCCACGCCACGGTCCCCCGGGGTGAGGGATCTGGCATGGGATGGGAACGAGGGCCACGAGCCGGGCTCTCCGCAGCCGCTCCGCTACCAAATAAGGCCTCCGCCGAGCCTTTTACATGCCGTTCTCGCCCGGCCAAAGTGACGTGACCGCCTTCCTAAATTGTTCTGGCTCCTCCGTGGGGAACCCCCTGGCTCACAGCTCCCCTGTGGGGACCCCGGGGAGGAGGCGAGAGGGATAGGGAGGCTACCCGGGGTGCCAGGAGCAGGCAGGAGGAGCGGAGCTGAAGTGGGGGCTTTGCCCACCTGGCAGCAACCTCACGGATCTCCCCGGGATAGGGGCTGCTTCTCCCTCTTTTTTGGGGGGGCAGGAGCCTGGAAGGCAAGCCCTGGGAGGGGAGAGGTGCGGCGCAGTAGCCGGGCAACCCCCTTCCCCTGCGCTTAAGCAAATACTCGACAGCACCGGCTCTTCCAGCCTAGGCTGGGCAAAACTCCTGCAGGGAAAATACCTGCCTGGCACCGGAGGAGCCCGGCTTGGCCATCGCCCTCCTAATGTGTTCCCGGCACAGCGGGTGGCCCTGGCACCTCGCAGCCGTCCCCTCCAGGGACTCCCCATGTCCAGCATCGAAAGATCGGGGGTTCCCCAAGTGCGAGCAGTGCGACAGCCGGCCCCTGCCCTCCCCCGATCCAGCCGGGAGGGCACATGCCGTGCCGTTGGAAAAGGCAACAGGCCTCCACGGATGTCTCCCACTGCCACGTTCGGCCGGCAGCATCATCTCCCACACACCCCGCGAGGCCACAATTAATAACTCCCCATTATTTAGGAAACTTTCGGAAGTTTGAGGCCAGAGCCATCTCCAGAACGAACAAATGAGGGCAGGCAACAGCGGCCGACGGAGCTGCGGTGATCCGAGCGCTGGCCATCGACCAGGGACCCCAGTACGAGCCGGCGGGGACCTGCCGGAGCAGCCCGGGGGGTGGAGAGCGAGAAGGAAGAGGAGATCCCAGATCGGAATCTTCTCGCTCTCACCCTCCCACAAGTCCAAATTCCCATCTCAAGGTCACGGGCAAAACCAGGAACT